AGAGAAGAAAATATTTTGGTCGCTACCCGGAATCGAACCCGGGACCTTTGAATGAGAGGCCAACACCTTAACCTCTAGGCCACGAGAGCCCCCTGTGTAAAGTTTAACAGTAAATAAGTCAGTTTGATGCAAAAAAAGCCATCTTACTTACATTATTATGCATATTATCTGTTATGTGCAAATTGTAATATATATGCATATTTGAGGCATCGTTGTGAAACCAGCCGATCGTAAAAATAATGAAATCAAAGAAATCGCCATTTTGGGGGTCGATGGGCCATTTTTTTTCTAGTTTCCTTTTTTTTTTTGGCTCAAAACCTTATATGTTAAATTAAAAACATATTTTTGTGTGGATTTTACAGAAATGCATTGATTAAAGGCACAAAAAATATAAAGTTTCAGTTTCCGAGGACTCTCAGGCTATGGAATCTACCAAAAGTTGGCTGCCATTTTCTTGCTAATTTTTCCTCTGCAACCAGGCAACCCTGATGTTCTTCAATCAGGAATAATTCAACATTGATGAATATTTTCTCTCAAAAATGAAGGCAAATGAAAAGGGCTTTAAGATAATACCAATAATCTCATATGCCTAAAAATTGACAAGTGCCTGATTCCACCACGTCGTGACACATATTCAACGTAAAACAATCCTTTCAAAGGTTAAGCCCCTTCGCATGCACGTTCGAGACATGAGTTCCATTCACGCATGTCCGAAGGGGTGCTGTAAGCCGCTCATCCCGGGTAGAAGCAGCCCGACTCCTACATGGTCTAAAATATGTCGGGAGGGAGTATGACACGAGACAGAGTTGAAAGTTGATCTCAAAGTAACAACACAAAACCCATATGGTACGTCAAAACAGTTTGCTTTTATTTTCTCATCAATAATAAAAACCAAACGAGTACTTCTACTCTCTGTTCACAAACATTTTACAATTATAACTCTTTTTTTTTCCAAATTATTTTGTAGTTTTTCTACTTCTACTGCGGTTCAAGTTCAGGTCTGATTAAAACGAAACAAAACAGATTAGGCTACAACATCACGTATTCTGACACGTGTTTTATCTTCTTGCCAATGGTCATTGCCTCTTGGTCTTGGGCTCAGTGCTTGACCATTAGGAGCACAGGATCGTCTTTCGCGGCCCGCTTTTTCCTGGAATTGGGATACTCGTTGAAGGATTTTATCACGTTGGAACGGAGTTTGGTTTTGGCTTGTTGCGAGTTCTCTTCTGAGTCCAAAAACTGTGGAAGAATCAGAGAGAGAGAGAGAGAGAGAGAGAGA